TGGTTCCAGAAAAGATTAACTGGCCTTTAAATAACCCAGACCAATGAGACAAGTGGGAGAAATACATGTTCACATGTTATGCCATCAATAGTCTTCCTAGGGGCTAAGAGAAGGGCAGCTGTGTGAAGAAAATGTACTTCTGTCTAGATGGGGTCAGGAATTTGTTTTTCCTCTATGACATGRTAAGAGGAATAACAAACATTCTATGTTCCATATGGAACTATGGCTGTGTTCTCAGTCTCACGAGGGCTCAAAGGACTTGGGACCCACCAAGTGGACAAGAGCTCTGGTGTKGCCTCACTGTGCCTTTTCTGTGACTTTTCTTTGGACTTATTGCCCATGGCTCGCACTTAAAAATTCCTTTATTTATTTATTTTTAGTTATGCATGACAGTAGAATGTATTTTGACATATTATACATACATGGAATATAATTTCTCATTCTTKTGTTTGTATAGAAGGTGGAGTTACACTGGTCTTGTGTTCATATATGAACATAGGAAATGAATGTCCAATTCATTCTGTCTTATTCCCATCTCTTCTCCCTTCCCTTCATTCCCCTTTGTCTAATCCATAGTACTTATATTTTTCCTCCCCAACTTTCCTTATTCTGTGTTAGCATCCCCATATCAGAGAGAACATTTGGCCTTTGGTTTGGGGCAATAGGCTTATTTCACTTAGCATGATMATCTCCATTTCCATCCATTTATTGGCAAATGCCAAAATTTCATTCTTCTTTATATCTTCATAATATTCTATTTTGTATATATACCATATTTGCTTTATCTATTCATTMATTGAAGGGCATCTAGGTTATATCCATAGACTGGCTATTGTGAATCGTGAATCGAGCTGCTATAAACATTGATGTGGCCACATCACTATAATATGTTGATTTTAAGTCTTTTGGGTATACACTAAGGAGTTAGATACCTGGTCAAATGGTGGTTCCATTTCAAGATTTCTGAGGAATCTCCACACTGCTTTTCAGAGTGGTTGTGCCAATTTGCAGTCCCATTATCAATGTATGAATGTACTTTGTTCCTCACATTTTTGCCAACATTTATTGTTACTTGTATTCTTTTAATTGTCATTCTGACTGGAGTGAAATACAAAATTTTATTGTAATTTTAATTTGCATTTCTCTAATTGCTGGAGATGTTGAACATTTTGTCACATACTTGTTGACCATTCATATTTCTTCTTCTGTGAAGTGCCTGTTCAGTTCCTTTGCTCRTTTGTTGATTGGATTATTMATTTTTTGGTGTTAAGTATTTTGAGTTCTTTGTATATCATGGAGATTAATGCTCTCTCTGGGGTGCAGGTGGCAAAGATTTCTCTCATTCTATAGGCTTTCTCTTTACATTCTTGTTTGTTTCCTTTGTTGTGAAGAAGCTTTTCAGTTTGATACCATCCCATTTATTGATTTTTTTATTTTATTTCTTGTGCTTTAGGAAACTTATTGAGGAATTTGGTTTCTAAGCTGACATGATGGAGAGTTGGGTCCACGTTTTCTCATAGTAGGTGCAGAGTCTCTGGTCTAATGCCTCGGTCCTTGATCTACTTTGAGTTGTGTTTTGTGCTGGGTGAGAAATAGGGGTTTAATTTCATTTTGCTACATATGGATTTCCAGTTTTCCAAACACCATTTGTTGAAGAGGCTTTTTTTTTTCCAATGCATGCTTATGCCACCTTTATCTAGAATGAGATAAMTATATATATGTGGGATTATCTCTATGTCTTCTGTATTGTACCATTGGTCTTCATGTCTGTTATGGTGGTGATACCATGACATTTTTGTACTATTGCTTTGTAGTATAATTTAAGGTTTGGTATTGTGATGCCTCCTGTGGCACTTTTCTTGCTAAGGATTACTTTGGCTCTTCTAGGTCTCTTATTTTCCCAAATGAATTTAATGATTTCTTTTTCTATTCATATGAAGAATATCACTGGATTTTTAATAGGAATTGAATAAATCTGTATAGCACTTTTGGTAGTATAGCCATTTTAACAATATAATTTCTSCCTATCCAAGAACATGGAAGATGTTTTCATCTTCTAAGTTCTTCTTCAATTTCTTTCTTTAGTGTTTTGTAGTTTTCATTGTAGAAGTCTTTTAATTCTTTGTTAGATTGACTCCCATTTATTTATTTTTGGAGGCTMTTGTGAATGGGTTAGTTTCCCTGGTTTCTCTTTCAGATGGTTCATCTCTGATGTATAGGAATACAGTTAATTTATGAGTGTTAATTTTATCTCCTTTTAAGTTGCTGAATTCATTTTTGAGGTCTACAATTTTCAGTTGGAGTTTTTTGTGTCTTCTAAGAATAGATTACTATTGACAAATAAGTGATAGTTTAAATTATTCTTTTTCCTCTTCATATCTCTTTAAATTCTTTCTTCTATGTAATTGCTCTGGCTAGAGTATTCAGGACTATGTTGAATAGAAGTAGTGAAAGACAGCATCCTGTTTTCTTTCAGAATTTGGTCTATGTTATTCCAAGAACTTCTATCTTTGAGGACCTGGGCTGAGAAATCAGCTGAGATCTGGATTGTTTTCCCTCTAAACAAGACCTGTCATTTTTCTCTGGCAACCTTTAAAATCCTATCATTGTTCTGTATTTTAGGCATTTTCATAATAATGTGCTTTGGCATTGTTCTGTTGTAATTTTGTATATTTATGGTCCTGTAAGCCTCCTATATTTGATTTTTCCATTTTATTTTTAGGCTTGGGAAATTTTCTGATATTCTTTCATTGAAAATATTGTAAATTCCTTTCATTTGTATCTCTGAGCCTTCATATATCCTGATAAATTGTAAATGTGGTCTTTTCAGGTTATACCAYATTTCTTGTAAGTTCTGTTCATGGTCTCTTAATGTCTTTTCCCCATGGTCAACTTTACTTTCAAGATTATATATCATCTTCATTGCCTGAAACTCTATCTTCCAWGTGTTCTACTCTGTTGGTGATGTTTTCTATTTAATTTTTTCATTTAATTTAATTTCTTTGTTTCAAGGATCTCTGCTTGATTTTTTTTTCAAGAMTCTCTATGTCTTTATCGAGGTGGTCTTTTACTTCCTGTATTTTCTCTTTGACTTCATTCCTTACCTTGTTCTTGACCTTACGAATCTGTTTAGCCATGTACATTTTAAAACTCCTTCTCTTGCATTTTTTTCCACTGTGGTATCAATGGATTCTGTTATTGTAGTATCTTAGTTTGTTTGGGTGACTTGTTCACTTGCTTTTTAATGTTGTTTGTGTGTCTGCCCATATGACACCATGGATCTAAGTAGTAGAGGTTCTATCCTGTGGACTTATATTATCCCTGAAGGTTTCCAGCACCTCAGCATACAGGGGAGACAAATAATAATAACAATCAATCCAAACAATATACAACATTAAACAAATGACCTCTTCAATGTTGTCAGAATAAATTAAAGTTATATGATCAGTTATTGCCTATAATAAAAACARTAAGCTAGCAAAAGTGTTTACAATTTCAAATGATGGACAGGGATAGAACAGAAGTGATGTAGGATATGATGATGGTAAGGAAGGAGGAATGAAGATAGAAGTAAAAAATTAAAGGAAGAGTGAAAGAGACAACAATAGAAGTTCACTGTTGGCAGAAGAGAGAAGAAAATCAATGAAAAGAGATAAGTCAGAACAAAAACATATAAAGTAAAAAAATTAAAAATAAAAAAGAATACAAATCAAAGCAAATACTAAACATCCAGTCCTCAAAAGACTGATYCATGAAAAAATGCTAGAAATGAGAAAACAAACAACCATGAGTATGTGCAAATGTCCATGAACCACTGAGGTCACAATTAAATAGAAAGAAGAAAAAAGAAAAATAAAGAAAAAAATCTCTATGAAAATTAAAAAAAAAGTTTCTGTTCAAATTCAAAAGATTCTTAGCTTTCCTTCTCAGCACTGTTAGGTGTGTTGGTCGGGAGTATGACTCTTGCTCTATCCTCAGGATGGGGTTGCTAGAGAGAGAGGTAATCCCATAGGTGTAACTCCTGGTGCTGGGGTTTAGGTTTAGGGAGGCTTCAAGCTCCTTACTGTATGACAATTGGCCTAGAGATTTTTAAATCAGCACACCTCCAGGGCCCAGCAATTGCTGGTCCATGTTGAAAGACTATACCCAAGGAATCTCTCCTGGGTTCCACTTGTGTGGTGGAGGAGTCAATTCTTAATACATCATGTTACCTGTGGCCCCATGTTTTCTGGTCTTGGGTTCAGTCTCCAAAGACAATCTCTCCTACCCTTGCCTTTTCAAAACCCTGGCTGGGTGTGTTTCTCCCTGCTAGTCCTGTAAGCAACTGGATTGTTGAGGGAGAGGTAGAGCTGGATGAGTTTCCACAACAAGTTGACCCTTGTGTAAACCTTTCTCCATGTTTTATTCTCTCCTGGTCAGTTAGGCACACTCTATTTCAGGCAGTGTGGATTTATAAGGCCTGTATTTAGGGCCAAACTTAGGTTTGCCAGGAATCAGCTCCCTCAGCTGCCAATCCTCATGCTACAGCTGCAAAATTATTCCTTCCTCGGTCCTCTACACATCCCCAGAAGAGATGGTGTTTCTTTCTTGTAGAAGGATACTGAACATGGAGCCTTTCAGTTCAGTCAGGCAGTGCCTTTGATCTCTAAACTCTACTGTATCCAGACATGCCTCAGTACTTCTAAAAAATACAGGTTCCTTTAATTCCCTTATCCCTCTACTTTGTTTGTGGCAGAAACATTCTGCCTGGTGCCTCTGGCCTTGACAGCAGCTGTGGCACTGGGGATTTCTTCCTTATTTTATTATGTTCAACCTCCTAAGTCCCTGATATTATTTGAATGTCCAGCATTAAATTTCAGTAAAGCTTCCCCTTCTGTTTTTTTTTTCCCTATCAACCTTGCTGAGAAGCTGCCTGTCTGCTTTCTTAGTTTCACATTATGGAGGAGCCAGAAAATCAACCTTCTTTGTTCCACCATCTTGAAATCATCAGTGGCTTGCACTTCTCTACCAAAATGCTGGGAGACATTGAATGCAACAGAAGAAGCAAGTAGAAGAACCAAACCCAAGTAAGAAAGCTACCTGTTGTTACAGTTAAATGATGCTGTGTAACAATTGACCTCAAGCTCAGTTACTTCAAACAACCACTGTTTTATTATATGCCATGTTCAGATAGGCTTTGGGGCAGAACTCCAAAGAGTGATTTTTCTGATTCTATGGTCTTGAAAGAGGTCAGCATAAGATATTCAGTTGGACAATGGCCTGAACTTGAGGGTCCAAGGTGGCTCTACTCATGTCCCTGTCACCTTGCTGAGGACAGAAAACTGGGCATATGTGGACAGTTGATAATGAACTTACATATGGCCTCTCTATGTTTCTTAAGATTTAAAAGAGGGGAAATAGTGGTCTTAAAATTAACTTTTTGAGAACAAGTGATGTCACAAACATAAAGATTCTGAAAATATGGACAGAGAAATGGGCATATTGTCACTTCTATCATATTCTGTTTGTTAAGTGCTCTCAGAGTTTGCCCATGACCAGAGGGAAGGGACTTCTCAAATGAGAATATTATACAAGAATTTGAAGATTCCTCTAAATTCATACAACCTGATTTTTTGAGAAAGTAACCAAAAAAAGAGGCACAATTAATAAAGTGACCATGCAGTTAAATTTTGATCTGTGGGCTAATCTTTTATTTCTAGAATTTGTTGCTATTTTCACTGCTTGAAGTGGGCCAAAAAGAAAAGAGCCAGTTTGACTGATATTTCATATTGCAACCATCTAGAGATAGTCCTGGATATTCATGATTTTCAAAGTGCCATGTAGAATATTTGTGGGACAAAATAAATCCCTTGTCCTAAAAATCCTGACACTCTAGTCAGGGAGAGGGCAGATGACAGCTGATGTAACTTCAGGATAGACTAACTAAGTAATGAGTTATTATGGATACAGACCATATTTTTTTCTAGGATTCCCAAGACTATACTCCTAACTGCAATTATAGATTTTTGCTAGGAGCCACAGCAAAAGTATTATGATACATGGTACCTTTGGTTTAGGTGACTGCCAGCTAGCCATTGAGATGATATGATTATGTTAAGCTTTACATTCATATGGAAATTGGACTCCTGCTGTTCACCTCGGCCTGTTACGGGACTCATGTTACTCATGTTACTCATGTAATGGGAGAGTTCCCATTGGTTGGGGAAGGATAGTAGGAGGGAATTTCCGGGGGAAGTCCGGACCCCCCCCCTTCCGGTGGGAGAGACACGTGGGTCGACCGGCTTGCTAGCAGGGCGCACACGGGACGCTAGCGGCTTTTTTAAATAAAGCTTTGTTTCCCGCTGGAGCGGCTTGTGTTTCTGTGCCTAGCCGGGTTGCGGCAGATTTTGAGTTCCAAATGTTATATCTGACCCACATAATAAATTATATGAGGAAGTTCACTCATCAGTTCAAGGCCATTGTCCAAATCATAACATGACCTCTTTATGTCATGGCCCTGTTCTTTCTCCATAAGCTCTAGTAATGATCTCCTGCCATGGCCTCATCCTGCCTCCATATTGGACTCTGTTTATATGGTGACAGGGCCCAGGTGATCTTACCCTCCCAGGTGAACTTACCAGGTGCTCTTATAGGTTACCACTACTTACTGGGACTGAGGAAATAACAGTTTCTGGAACCTGGACTTAGGGGTTTGGAGGCCATATATACCCTGAATTTATGGGTATCTGAATTTCTGGCACACTGCACTGGACTTATTGAGTTGAGGTACCATGAACCACAGTTTCCAGAGAGAAAAGGGTATGTTCACTGTGGAGACGAAATAGAAAGGATTTCTGTTTCCTGGAGGATATTACTTCATTTTTTAAAATTTATCTTTAGCTCTAGTAAGATTTTTCCCCCAAAGAAATAGGTCTCTGGAAAGAAATATTCTATAAATGAAGATGCTGCTGACACTGGACTTCTAAAAATGGACAGCATCATCAGTGTACCCCCAGGAGAAGAGAGTGACCCTGGCAGGGGAAACAGGAAGGAGAAGGAGTGGCCTGGGAGGGCTGCACTTCACAGAGAGCAGGCAGTAAGCCTCAGAAGCATGAGGGAAATGTAGTCAGCAAAGAGGTCCTCTGAGATTGTTTTAGACCACAGTAGGCCAGAGCCCTTCTTGAGATAATATTCCCCACAATCTTGCTCCATAGTTGATAGAATCATTTCAAAGTGCCAGAACATCTGTAACTCTCTAGTTACTGAAATAAAAATAGTCTTCAATTCTCACTCCCCTCCTTGGAGATTTGCCCATCACCACCCAAATCTGAGGAGGCGAAGCTGGCCACACTTCTCCTGAGACATATGGCTCATTACCAAGCACAGAGAGAAGATAGTCTTGTGATAGTTCCAAATAAACATCAAATAAATTTTCCAGCCCAGAGGCTCTTATAGCATTAAGAATCCCTACAAAGGAGAAGGGGTCTCCCCCAAATGATATGGCAATGACCTTTGACATATTATGAGGAATCAGACTTGATCATATCTAAATGTATAAGACAAGAGCATTGATTTTTTCCCTATTTTTTTAATGCAGTACATCACACTTCATAGAGGGAAATGGTGAGATATATGAGGACTGGGCTACTTAAATAAAAGATCTTATGTTTGAAATGTGAACAAATCTTTCTCCTTTTTCTTTCCTATGTGGTCTCACATTCCAGAACAGCCTGAAGTCCCTTGAAGGCTTCCAGAAAGGTAGGATTCCAGGTGGGTAGGATTCCAGGTGGATTCTCCTAAGTGGCCCCTGTTTGTGTGAGTGAGACAAGGATGTGAAATGCACCAGGAAAAGAAAAGATGAAAATGCATGAAGAGGTACAGAAAATTATGGTGGAAGGTGATAAAGTACATCAATGGGAAAGCAGAAACAAAGGGTCTGAGAAAAGAATAAAGAACAATATAGTATGTTTGGGGTGGTGATGGTGGTAGTGGTAGGGAGAAGAGGTCAAAGAAAGTGTTTCAAAGAAACAGAAGAACAAAATATACTGGGAGGGGGAAATGAAGAAAATGGGTGTGAGTCTGCAAAAGGGACTGGCCAGAGGGTGAAAGAGGGAAGATCTGAGCTGAAGGCTGGGAAAGGAATGGTGGATGTTGCATCTGTGAACAGGCATGGAGGGTGTGGCCTTCGCCAGAGGGAACAGGACACTGCTCTATCTTCTGCTAGCTCCACATGTCCATTAGCTCATAGATCTTATGGCTGGATTTTATGGTTAGTTAAAACAAACGGAGTTTTCGCCCTTCTTGTTCCTGGCCAACTCCCACCCCAGGCTCCCAGGCCTGCATGTGTAGTACCCAGGGATGTGTTGACTCATGGGTGGTATTCTCAGTGTCAGGAGAGGTAAGCCAGATTTGGAGAGAGGTGATGGCATCAGTAGAGAGAGGCTGGCTATTCTATGTGTACACCAAAAGACAATGGGATGTGAGTGTTCATGGCATGTGAGTTGGGAACAGAGGCTGCCTATCAGTACAGGCCTTTAAGTCCTGGCTTATTCCTGCTTTGCAAGCACAGTGTTCTTTCTTGTTATCTTCTTGCTGCCTGAGAAGAACCACTGTCAGAATAAAAAGTGATCTAGGTCTTCTAGCTGAAGACCCTCTGGATGTCTATTTCCTACCTCCATGAACTCAGAGAAAGGGTGAGAAAGGACTGGAGCCACTGATTTCTCTGTGGTTCTATGGAGGCCACTGCATTTACAGCAAGTAAGAATAGGTGCTGGAATTCAACTTATGGACACTTGGAGTCCAGACATTGGAAGAAGAAACGCCAGGGTCAACTCTTTCTTGATTTGGAGCTAGCAGCTTCATGTTCAAGTCTTATATCTGCCTCTTACTAGTGGGGTGACTTTGGTCACRTCACTGGCTTCTTTGAATGTCATTGTCTTCACCTACAAAGTGAGGGTGCAATTTTTACCTTGCAAGCTCAGTGTGAGCATTAGAACAAATGGATATCTCTTATCAACTGGAATCCTGGAGTCCAGTGGGTTGATACAGGAAGAAGGCCAGTATCTATGGCTGCTGCAAAGAACCTAATAACCATATGGTCACATGCTTCGTATGAAGGTAATTTCAGTCAGCTCAGATTATCAGGAGGGAATAACCTCCATCCAGAAACTTTTTTACACGTAGTCCCATGAACACATACCACTCAGGGTCTGAACCCTGTCTCATGTGTGCTCCTAGAGGAGGCCCCACTGATGGGGAAGGGCCCTCAACCTGAGGCTGATCCTTCAGGAAGGCTCTTAGGGGTAGGAAAGTGATTCCTTCCATGGGAGGCTTCTCCCTCTCCCTCCATTGAGGGACTCAGGCAATTTATGCTGTGGAATCAACAGAAATAAGTGGATTGAGAAAGTTAAGCCCCCAGGGTTTTGTTATTTTGCAAGTAATGATAGAGTCTTCACATTCCAGAGGGCAGGCCCCAAAATAGCCCATGCCCTTTACTTATTACCAGAAAACCACACACAGCCACTCCTCCTTTAGCCAATTATTGTCTCTACCCCCAGAGCAAAATATGAACCCTTCAGTGTACAGGGAGCACCCTCCTGGGTCAGTGGTTCTCCTGTAACAATCAACACTCACTTTAGGAAGGTTCTACTCTCTTCAGCCATTTTCCCATCTTTAGTTAGAACCATTTAAACCAAAGCCTTTCTTGTTTCTAGAAAGTAAGGGTTTGCTTAATTCACAGGCACTTCAGGACAATTTTTGGTTCTAAGTACCTGAAACCCAGATGAAAATGACCACTTAGGAAGAAGTGTTCATTTATTATTTGAGGTGACTAAAGATTAGTGAAGGCTGGATTGTGGCTGAGCCTTGAGGAATGACATCTGGGTCCAGGGACTTAAACATCCTTGCCTCTTTCAACTCTGCCCCTAAAGTGAAGCTTAAACTCTCAGACAGACACTTTCCCCACAGCTGAACACAGGCTGCCAGGATTTCTCAGGCTCATGGGTCACTTTGCCACACTAGAGGAAGTGAGACTCATACTCTTTGAGTCTCAAGTTAGGAGATATCTAGAAAAGCTCTTCAAGTGTGCTTGTGTGTAGCTCAGTGGTAGAACCTGTGCATAGCATGCACAAGATTCTGGGTTCAATCCCTAGCACAAAAATAAAAACAAAAAAACAACAGAACAAAATGAGCAAAAAATACTCTGCAATGGGTTTGCTTGAGCCAGAGACCTGAGGGAACAGCACTGTTAATGGAAGACTGGCTCAAGTCCTGTGTTTGGCCTAGAGGGGAAGATGTCTCAAACATATCATGCACTAAGTTTAGCTCACCTGCTCCCAAGCCAGTACCTTCTACTAGACTCTGGCAGTTGATTCTATAAACTTCTTCAGCAACAGCAGTCTTGACATGTGGAGCTTTGTGGGAGAACCTATAGAGGCTTTGAATAGGACTATATTTACTTTTGACTTCGTAATGTATATTTACGTGGTCTGTAGTCATTCAAATACATAGCAAAGACATACATGAAGATCTAACACAAATGATGGATCAACTCTTGGATGATGAGTTATTTAATAAAGAACAGTAGAATATAAAAATACATTGAAAAAAATACATTTTTTAGTTGGCTGGAAATGTCACATCAACAAAAATGACATAAAACAATACATGACAAATGGGGACACCTAAGACAAACTGGTTAGTGTGAGCCATCAACTCAAATACAATATGAACCAGCCAGAACACTGAAATCCTGGTAGAGCCTAGCTCTAATTGACATAATTTAAAAGGTGTACATGATATTAATAATACAGAGTTTATTAGACTTCAAACTTAAGTTCTATAGTAGGAAACATATTATCTTTCTGTCTTTCTTGTAGAAAATTGCATTTCAAAAATTCTTGTCATATAATTAATTAATTAGAAGGTATTTAGCTAAACCAAAAACAAACAAACAAAWGTGAAGTGCATCAAAAAGGAACTACAAAGTGTGTCAGTCATTTAACTAATTTAAGTAATATGTTATATTTTCTAAATTTTGTGGTTTTTTTGGCTAGTTTTCTTAAATTAATAATTTGTTTTGACTTTTTAATGTAGTAATTTTAAAAATTACTACATTAAAAAACTACTTTTATATTTATACTTATATTTATATATTTATATTTATAAAACTGTTTTCTCTCTTTTTCCACCTTCCTTCTTTCCTTTATTTCTTCACTTTCTTCCTACCATTCACTTTTCCCTTAAGAATTCCTTCCTTTATTATAAAATCTCAGGTCTCAGACTTCTGCACTCATGCACCCTTCCCAGATTGGTCACCCACTCTTTCCCTGACAGGTATGGGGAAAGTAGGAAGCTGAAGGTGTCCTTTCAGATCTAGAGAATGTGGCCAAGGAAGAGTAGTGAATTGGCTTAGGTCTGTGTGGATGCTTTCTCTCCTCTAGTTTCTTCTCTCCTGTTTCCCATACCCTAGGCTGGGTCTGATTGGCCCCTCCTGGTTTCCACTGCATTTTTTTTTATTCTGGTCTACTTTATAACCTTCATGACCATTGACAGACACACACACACACTCACATTTGTGTCCCCTCAACTAAACAGTGAATTCCCTAAAAATGGACTATGTTCTGCTCACTAATTTGTTCCCAGAATTTCACCTGGTTTTTGGAACCTAATAGATACACAATCCATGTGAATCTTACGGATCTTAATTAATTCTGGGGAGGCATCCAGAACTGCTAAGACTGAATATTTGTCAGGAAGGCTCAACATATTGGTTTAGGTTAGAGCCAAGCAGAAATTTCTCCATGGTGAATAAGATATATAGCATCTGCTCTCTAAGGATTTTGAGAATACAGGGCCATTAGACAGAGAACCAGTTGTTTTGTAACTATACCTCCAAATTCTTGGTGTGGCAGAAACTGACTAGGTGTTCACCAAACTGATTACTTGCCTTTTCAGATACAAAATGAAAATACATTCTCCTCTTACTCTCCGGTTGCCTATGAATATGTGGCTGAGTCCTGACCCATAAAATATGAACAGAAAATGAATTGGCTCACACGATTGTGCAGCTTAGCAAATCCAAAATCTAATGGAGGAGACTCAGGACAGAGTTGAAGTGCAAGTCAGTAGACTGCTGCTGCAGAATTCTCTCACGCTTGGGGAGGTCAATCTTTTATCTATTAAGCACTTCAACTGATCATATGAAGTCCACTAACATTTTGGGAGGCCATCTGTTTATTTGAAGTCCAATGATTTAAATTTAATTTCATCTCATCAAAATTATTGTCACAGAAATATCAAGAACAATGTTTGACCAAATGTCTGAGTACCTCATGACTGAGTCCAGTTGACACATGAAATTAATTATGACAAGTCCACTTCATATCAACTTGGCACCAGATGCATCTCCTTGATCCAGACTTAATCTACAAATAAAGACAATAATTAACAAGGTTATATTTCTGCCTAACACAATCCAAATAGTTTGCATGCCACTTAAAATACAGTAAGTGGAAGAGGATGCAAAGTCCTTGAGAGATGTTCATAATTTTTCTTGATAGCCTGTATCTTAAATTCTATGATATAAACTTAATAATGCTTAAATAATGTAGTGTAATTCAGTACTTATAAAGTTACATGGTAAGGGGATAAGAGAGGGACATAAACAACACACACATATTTATATAAAAATAGGAAATAAATATTTATGACAATAATAGTCCTCATTTCTGTGACTGGTCACATGGTTATTTCTGGTAGTTATAATTACT